GGGGGGGTATAATACAATGACATCTGGAAGTGGGGGGGGTATATTACAATGACACGTACGTGGGGGTGGGGGGGTATAATACAAGGGCACCAGGATGTACTATGGGAAGAAGCCGGGGGGAGAGGCAGTGTGATGGGCAATGTTCTGCTGGGACACCTCGGGTCCGGCCATTCATGTGGATGTTACTGTGACACGAACCACCGACCTAAACAAACCTTGTTCCTGACCAAGTCCCCCCCCTTCATGGAGACGGTGTTCCCTGATGGCAGTGCCCTCTCAGGAGGATAATGATCCCGGCCACACGGCACACATGGAGGAAGAATGGTTTGAGGTGATGACTCCGCCTCCAAATTCTCCACATCTCAGTCCAATCGATCATCTGTGGGATGTGCTGGAGAAAGAAGTCCGATCCATGGAGGCCAATCACCTCACAGCTTAGAGGACTTGGAGGATCTGCTAGTGACTGCTTGGTGCCGGATACCATAGCACACCTTCAGAGGGCTATGGGGGCCATGCCTGGATGGGTCAGGAGAAGGGGGACCTCAGTATTAGGCGGGTGGTGATAATCTTCTGGCTGATCGGTGTAAATAGAATGTTTATCAGGGATGGCTCGTACCCGGCCTCTGCTTCAATAATGTTCATTACACTCCATGTGCCGCTCCCTCTCTTTGGGGGGATTTCTGTATTGTTATGGAATTATTTTTGCCCGGCGGAGTTCCGCCATCAGCTCTGTAAGTTGTCTTTTCACCTCCTCAGATACAGATCTGGAGACGTCTTTACTGAGCTTCGAGAAGCTGGACCGAGCGTCACCTGACTTGTGGCCGGAGCAACGTAAGTTGAACTTTGCGCTGCACCGAGAGCACTGCGGGACCTCCTTCCTCCTGGGGACCCCTCTAGTACCCCAGAATTCTCACTTTCCCTGCTGTCAGGCCACATTGCTCATTTTGCAATCATACGAAATAAGCACCCTTACCTGGCCCACCCATCAGTCAGCTCTGTATCCACCGAACCACCCAAAGATCAAGTCCTGGATGGTAGCCGTGTATTATGAGATTGTTATGTGGAACTTTATCACATGTGTAGCTGGAATCTTTGTCCACAGCACCGCCGAAGATTGTTGTGATTTATAGAAATAGGATTCAGTCAGTGATGCTGCTTCGGGTCCAGTACGGCGTGTGTTTGTAATGACCATTCATCTTCTTTGTAGGAGATTCCGGTCATTTTACTATTCGGGGTTGTCAGCTTCTCCCTCACTCCCTTTCCTGTAGATTGGTCCATAGTCACGGGGGAATGTCTCCTGGGTCTACTGCGTTTCCCCGAAAATAAGACACTGTCTTATATTTTTTTTGGCTCAAAAAAACACACTAGGTTATAGTTACATAGTATTTGAGGTTGAATAAAGACATTAGGCCGTACCGTTCCAAGAGCAATTTGCTAACCAATCGCTGGCCAGAATGAGGGAAGCGCGCTTTCACTATGGATTCCTCACAGGCGGGGAGTGCATTTGGTATCACTCTGCCAGTGACAAGAGGCGGGGCTATAGAGGAGGCGTCGGAGGCAGTACAGGAGGTTAGGAGCTCGCTGGATTTCTGGCGGGATCAGCGGGTATTTTCTGTCCTTAGAAAGACAGAACGGCGGAAATGTACGTATGACCGAGACGGGCTGAGTGAGTTTGGGGACAACCTCTTGAAGGCTTTGACTAACATTTGACTTGTGGGTCTCACTTCCCTGACTGATAACAGAGGGTGGTCGTTCTTATTTCACATTTCGATGAGGCGTGGACCTATATGGGTTGGACTTGATGGACGTATATGTCTTTATGCAACCCCAAATACTATGTAACATTTACATAATTCCTCTTTTAACTTCCTCTCTTCCCAGCCAATTGCAAGTTCCCCTCCCAAGTGGATGGCCGAGCTGGAAAACGACGACATCGAAATGCTATTTTTATTAAGGCAGTAAAGAATGTGGGTCAGGTATGTAGTTCAACAGCAACAAGTTCCCCGGAACACTCACCAGCCGGCATGTAGGTTAGGTTATCGGAGGTTTAGATACACGTCTTCTGCAGAACATGTGACAGCCGCGCCAAGGCACCTCTTATAGTGCGGTCCTACCTCTGACCTCTCCATCTTGGAGCACATGGGGGCAAAAGATTAAAGGAGAACTATGAGGGGGAGGGGGGGGTGATTTCCACTCTAGCATGGTGCACATGGAAGGGCTTTATACAGCAAAAAGTTTCCCAGCACAATCACCAGCCAGCATGCAAAAAAACTTGTCTCACCGCTAAGGTTAAAAACAGAGGTTTTAGATACATGTCTTCAAGACGGGTATCTAAAACCTCTGTTTTTAACCTTAAAGGCTGGTTACGAGTTGATGAGTGTGTTTGCCATTTTGTTTTACTTGGCAAGTATGTAGTTCAGCCTGGATAGGGGTATAGGGAATATAGTTCAATCTAGTTCAGGGGCGGCCACTGGCGGGAACCCAGTTTGGGGGGGGGGCC